CCGATGGGCGCACCCCGCTGTCGTGCGAGCCTCTACCAGATCTAGGGTCCCGCGCTGCCCCACCCGATGTGAGATGAAGAGAGAACATGCCCTGCCGCCACCAAGTGCCCGACGACGCCCTCCAACGGCGGCAGAGAAGGAGGGCGAGGTGTTGGGGAAGCGAGTGGCAGTCGGCTAGCGTTTTCTTCCGGGTCGCCCGTGAGAGCGATATAGGAGGGAGGGAGGGGAAAATGATAGAGTTACAATATTTTAATCTAGGTATATCTCTTAGCTTCAAAACAAGACAACTCTAACATTTCCTCTCACAGAACACGTTAAATGAGAGCTATTTTAGATACAATACGATACAATTTATCGAAGGCGAAATATTCAAATAAAATATTAATGCACTGTATTGCATGCAGACCTCGTAAGCAACATCATGAGGCGCTTGCTCGCAACGGCTTATAAATTGTGCACATCCAAAACAAAGGCAATAGGGAAAATGAGACACAACAATTGAAGCAATTCAGGACCGGGATAAGTGGTCGACCGGCCTTTTAAACCCGTACCGAGGGAGTAATGCATTCGGAGTTTCATGTGGGCTCACTTCCCTCATTTTTATCATCTTCACTTCATATAGTTAAGCGGGCCATAAGCCCCTTATCGAACTAACTCTAGGCCTTAAGTTGCTTGATGCGAAAAAGACTCTAGAAAGATCATACCCGCAAAGAAAGAAGATTATATAAGACAAAAGAGTGGGTGAGTGTAGCTTGTTTTTACAGCAGTACACTATGTGTCGACTAGCTAATTGCAACACTATTGGCCATGAAACAGCTCGCAGTGGGTTTCAAGTGGGCGCCGGCCGCCTTCGAGGCTTAACCCCCACCGCTAAGATACATCGGATCCTCGCGCACGCAGCCATAAACCGGCAGCGCACCAACCGAACCATCGTCCCATGCACGCATGCATGCAGCCCCTCGCCCTCGCGCGTGACGCCAGGGTTACTCGCGAGTGTGCTCACACCGTCAACTTCAGTAATCACCCCTCGGTTCTCGTCCTATATATACGTCGCCCCGTGTAGATCGACCTCCAACCACCCTCACCAACAACCCGCGGATATATGCGCTCTTATTGACATACCACATACAGTCGATCGTCTCCGGCGGTAGGGCGGCCATGGAGGAGTTCGACGAGGCCGACGTCCTGTGGCCGGACCACGACGACGACGAAGAACCTGTCCAAGTGCAAGACCTTCAGCAGCAGCAGCGTGTGTCACCGGCGATCAAGCCGCACGACAAGATCGAGGCGGCGCGTCGCCCGGCGGGCTCGTCGTCGGCGCCGATGGTCATCCCCGTGGCGCCAAGGTTCCCGATGATGATGGATTATGGCTCGTGGGCGCGGAGGTGCCACAGCGACGGCGTTGGGGGCGCGTCGTTCGTGGCGCCGCACGTGATTACGGCGAGGCGGCGGTGCGCGTCTTCGGAGGAGAGGTCGGTGTGCGTGGGGCAGGGGCGCACGCTCAAGGGCCGCGACCTCCTCTATGTCCGCACCGCCGTGCTCCGCATGACCGGCTTCCTCGAGACCTGAGGGCCGTCGATCCATCGAGTCACCACCGTCCGCGCTTGATTTCAGCATCCCGTAGCGAACCACCCCAGCAGTTTTTTCGTGCCACCCGAGTCCGAGTCCATTCCATGCTTAGTTATGATATGAGTGTCAGTGAATTCCCGAGAAACAAAATGGAGTCCATTCCATGCTTAATTATGATATGAGTTTTCACCGATGATGCAAAATATGAAGGAAACTCCAATCGATTCTAGATGTTTTATTTCTTTTCTTTTCTTCATTGCATGTAGTAAGGCTTGTAGTGAGGATGACACACGCTCCTGTGGTGCTTTTCGCTCGGCGCCGTTTCGGATCGGCGCGCGCGCGACAACGACAGCACGCGCACGACCGCGGAATCTACGAACGGTCGCTCCAGTTCGAGACGTCACGTCATCGGCCGGAGCGGAGTGGATCAGTGACTGCGTGCAGGCCCGGCGACGTGCTCGGGTTTGGACTCTAGTAGCAGCTGCTACCTGCCAGCCACCGATTTCTTTTCTGAAAGTTCGTTGTGCGCCATGCCCACACGGCCATCACGGGGTCTGTGCTTCTCGGCTGTGCAGTACGCACCGTGGGCCGGGCGTGCGTGTACACGATGTCCATGCGTGATCGTGTTTTGCACGCACGCACGCACGCGACCGGCGCGCGCCGCACAGGTTACGTGCGTCTGCGGGGTCGCGCGGGCGCGGTGCAGGTGCCTTTCCACGACGGCGACCGTTTCCGTTAGGAGGAGTGCAGTACAGCCTGCCGATCTAGAAGTGCAGAGAGTAAGGCCAAAACGTATCCCGGGCTCTGCCAACGCGTGCTGGGACGACGGATTATTACGCTGTTCGTCCTCTTCTGAAAAAAAGGCTGTTCGTCCATATGCGCGTCGCACTCCAAAGGCCAACAAATTCAAGGGGTTCGCCATCCAAGCAGCACTCCTTTTTTAATGCTTAACTTAGCAGCGCCATGAATTAGTTCTGAGCAATCTTCTCAACGGTGTGTGGAGTTCGCTAGGTGATGCCCGTCATGTCTCCTGACGGCGGTTTGAGGATGCTGTAATGGTTTTTGCTCCACTTTTAGTCAATTAACCGAGAAATTGTATTCTAATACCTCCGTAAAGAAATGTAAGAGCATTTAAATCACTAGAGTAGTGAGGGAATACTACTTAATGAATAGTTGAGCCATTCAGATTCAATTGTCAAAGGAAAATAACAGTGCTCTTCTGTTAAATTGGAACCGTCAAGGATCGGGCTAGCCTAGACAGTTCCCCACTTGGTGTGCCTCGCGCACACGTATCACCTAAAAAACATCTTCATTTCCGAAACTAGACAACGTGCTGACAAAGGCAAGAATCTTAGGGTGGAGATTAAGCCTTAACACTCTTCTGCATTTTGGTGAAGCCAAGGTTATCACTATTGCTATGTTCTAGGAAGTGTATGTTGAGTTAAATTTATTGTTGTATGGTTCGAGGTACTTTGGTGTGTTTGTCGCTTATATCCCCATGGCCTCACGCGGCGGCATTTTTGTCTACGGACAAACTCATGCTCGGGAGAGGCACCATATGGGGTAATCGTTAATGTGAATAAGCCCAAGTGCGAAACAGTCATGTATGATGATTGGTGACTTGAATGAACCATTGTCGCCACGCAAAAGAAAAAAAACTCGGCCTCGCACAACGAAAAGGCATATGAAACAATTTAGAAACATATTATTATTCTGTAACGTGCATGATTTGGCATATCGGAGTCAACCTAAGACCTATGACAACCAAGAATATGGGATACGAATGTTAAAGCAAGAAGGGGCGCAACCACACGTGACTGGAGCATTTTGTTACCCCATGGCCTAAGGCAGCGGGACATTTTTGTCTATCGAGCACCCTATGCTCGGGAGAGGCACCACATGGGGTTGTCGTTAGTGTTAATAAGCCCAAAACAAAAGAGTCATGGATGATGACTGATGACTTGAATGAACCATTGTCACCACGCAAAAAAACTTGATCTCACATGATTTGGCATAGGAATGTTAAAGCAAGAAGGGGCGCAACCACACGTGACTGGAGCATTTTGTTTCCCCATGGCCTCAAACGGTGGGGCATTTTTGTCTAGGGACAAACCCATGCTCGGGAGAGGCACCATATGGGGTAATTAATTGTTAATGTGAATAAGCTCAAGTGCAAAACAGTCATGTATGATGATTGGTGACTTGAACGAACCATTGTCGCCATGCAAAAGAGAGAAAAACTCGGCCTCGCACATCAAAAGGCATATGAAACAATTTAGAAATATGTTATTACCTGCATGACTTTGCATATAGAAGTTAATCTTAGACATATGACAACCAATAATGTGGGTTATGAATGTTGAAGCACGAAAGGGGCCCAACCACACGTGACTGGGACGTTTTGTTTTCCCATGTACTGAGGCGGCAGAGCATTTTTGTCTGTGGAGATACCCATGCTCGAGAGAAGCACCACGTGGGGTCATGGTTAGTATGGATAAGCCTACTAGAAAAAGAGTCATGGATGATGATTGGTGACTTGAACGAACCATTGTCACCACGCAAAAAAAAACTCAACCTTGCACAACTAAAAGCCATATGAAACAATTTAAAAATATCTTATTATTCTGTAACCTGCATGATTTGGCATATCGGGGTCAACCTAAGACCTATGATAACCAATAACATGGGATAGGGATGTTAAAGCAAGAAGGAGTGCAACCACACGTGACTGGAGCGTTTTGTTACCCCATGGCCTGAGGCGGCGAGATATTTTTCTCTATCGAGCACCCCATGCTCGGGAGAGGCACCACATGAGATTGTCGCTAGTGTTAATAACCCCAAAATGAAAGAGTCATGGATGATGACTGGTGACTTAAACGAACCATTGTCGCCACGCAAAAAAAACTTGGTCTCACATGATTTGGCATAGGAATGTTAAAGCAAGAAGGGGGCGCAACACATAACTGGGGCATTTTGTTTCCCCATGTCGTGAGGCGGCGAGGCATTATTGTGTATGGAGAACCCCATGCTTGGGAGAGCACTACATGGGGTTGTCGTTAGTGTGAATAAGACCAAAAGCGAAAGATCCATGGATGATGATTGGTGAGTTCAACGAACCATTGTCGCCACGCAAAAGAAAAAAAACTCGGCCTCGCATATCGAAAAGGCATATGAAACAATTTAGAAATATGTTATTACCTGCATGATTTGGCATATAAGGGTCTAACCTAAGACCTACGATAACAAATAATGTGGGATAGTAATGTTGAAGCAAGAAGGGGGCGCAACCACACGTGACTGGAGCGTTATGTTTCCACATGACCTGAGGTGGCGGGGCATTTTTGTCTACGGAGAACCCCATGCTCGGGAGAGGCACCACATGGGGTCATTGTTACTGTGAATATGCCCAAAAGAGAAAGAGTCATGGATGATGATTGGTAACTTAAAAGAACCATTGTCGCTATGCAAAAAAACTCGGCCTCTCATATGGAAAAGGCATATGAAACAATTTAAAAAGATGTTATTACCTGCATGATATGGCATATATGGGTCAACCTAAGACCTATGACAACCGATAATGTGGGATACGAATGTTAAATCAAGAGGGGGCGCAGCCACATGTTACTGGAGCGTTTTTTTTCCCGAAGACCAAAGGCAGCGGGGCATTTTTGTCTATGAAGAAGCCCAGGCTCGAGAGAGGCATCACATGGGGCCGTCGTTAGTGTGAATAAGCCCAAAAGGGAAAGATCCATGTGTGATTATTGGTGACTAGAACGAACCATTGTCGTCATGCAAAAAAACTCAGCCTCGGACATCAAAAAGTCATATGAAACAATCTAGAAATAAATCATTACCTACATGATTTGGCATATAGGGGTCAACCTAAGACCTATGAGAACCAATAATGTAGGATAGGAATGTTAAAACAGGAAGAGGGCGGACCACATGTGACTGGAGTGTTTTGTTTTCCTACGGCCTGAGGCGGCGGGGCATTTCTGGCTATGGAGAACCCCATGCTCGGGAGAGGTACCACATGGGATCGTCGTTAGTGTTAATAAGCCCAAAACGAAAGAGTCCTGGAAGATGACCGGTGACTTGAACGAACAGTTGTCGCCACGGCGAAAAAACTTGGTCTCACATAATTCGGCATAGGAATGTTAAAGCAAGAAGGGGGTGCAACCACACATGACTGGAGCATTTGTTTCCCCATGGCCCGAGGAGGCGTGACATTATTGTGTATGGAGAACCCCATACTCGGGAGAGCACCACATGGAGTCGCCATTAGTGTGGATAAGACGAAAAGCGAAAGAGCCATGGATGATGATTGGTGAGTTCAACGAACCATTGTCGCCACGCAAAAGAAAAAAATTCGGCCTCGCATATCGAAAAGGCATATGGAGAAATTTGGAAATATGTTATTACCTGCATGATTTGGCATATAGGGGTCTAACCTAAGACCTATGACAACAAATAATTTGGGATAGGAATATTAAAGTAAGAAGGGGGCGCAACCACACATGACTGGAGCGTTATGTTTCCACATGGCCTTAGGCGGCGGGCATTTTTGTCTATGGACAACCCCATGCTTGGGAGAGGCACCGCATGGAGTCATTGTTAATGTGAATAAGCCCAAAAGATAAAGAGGCATGGATGGTGATTGGTAACTTAAATGAACAATTGTGGCCACGCAAAAGAAAAAAACTTGGCCTCTCATATCGAAAAGGCATATAAACAATTTAGAAATATGTTATTGATGGCAGCTGGAACTACGTCGGTATTTCCCCAGAGAGGGAGGGATGATGTAGCACAACAACGGTAGAGTATTTCCCTCAGTTATGAAATCAAGGTATAGAACCAGTAGGAGAACCAAGAAACACAACATAAACATCCCCTGCACACAAAAACAACACCTCGCAACCTGACGAGTTAAAGGGGTTGTCAATCCCTTTCGGGTAACGGCGCCTGAAATTGGCATGTGACGGGAGAAAGTTGTAAATATT